AATTAGTAAAAATAACCAAAACCTGAATCAATATTGATGCACCAAAAAATTATGAAACTGCATAAATTACAGCTCATAAACTATAATAAATAAATAAAATAAAAGTATCACTTCAGAGTTTCATCTCCATCATTTATTTCTCACATAGACAAAGTTAAATAACTGTGACATCACAAAAGTCGTCACCTTCTGTTTTAATGGCACAAACAACTTTATGCAAAAATAAAACCTAACATTTCACACAACTCATGCCAAAAAGAAGCAGCATTATTATTGGGATCTGAATTTTTAATATTATTATTATTTATTTATTGACAAATTGTAAGTAAAGGTTAAACTTGGGAAACTTTCTGCTTCCATAAAACTGTTTGAAAACTATTTTATTTAATTTTTATTGGCAAAGCATTGAACAATGTAAACAAATGAATAATTGAAACATCAACATGAATCAAATGAAACAAAAAATCTCTGAGTGTAAAGAAAAACAACAAAAAATATTAAACATTTTTAGGAAAAAACTGTTAATTTTTGTTTTCTTACTAATTTTGTAATCTTTACCTCAACTTTTGTGGTTTTACCGCCATGATTTCTGTTGGAGAGTTAATTTATTTTATTATGTGTATATTATATATATACTGCTCAAAAAAATAAAGGGAACATTTCACTTTAATTTTGTGTGTGGCTCCAAATCCAGGCCTCCATTGGTTAATAAATTTGATTTCCATTGATGATTTTTGATGATTTTTGTGTGATTTTGTTGTCAGCACATTCAACTTTGTACAGAACAAAGTATTCAATGAGAACATTTCATTCATTCAGATCTAGGATGTGTTATTTGAGTGTTTCCTTTATGTTTTTGAGCAGTATATATATATATATATATATATATATATATATATATATATATATATATATATATATATATATATATATATATATATATATATATATATATATTATGCAGTGGGATTTACTGCATTAAAGGAAGAAATGACATCTTATGTTTGTTTGAAATGTGAAGATCATTAATATGCAAACAGAATGAGGTTAAAGAGACAATTTAAACAGATTGCAGAAAATATTATGGTATAAGGAGTGAGGATGAGATTGTTTTAAGTATTGTCCCTTTCATTGCTCATTTTATTTTTGAGAAAAATCAGCCTTATACTCTTTGATATATGTGATTATTTGTCAAAGTAAAATAGATGGTTTAGTTTTTGTAAATGTTTTGTTTTAGAAATAAAATTCTGCATTTTCAGCCTTGAACTGAATCACTTTTTATTTTATCAGATAAAATTATTTTCTGTGACAGCAAGAAAATATATATCAATAACATCATTTCCATATGATTGCGCAAATTGGAACTTTGAAAATAAATTTGCTTAACGGAAACACATCAATTCATGTCTTTTGATTAAAAGTTGTTGCGTTAGGATGTGTTGTTTTTTTGGTTGTATTGAAATTAGTTTATATCGCAAAACTGCACTTTTTTGCAACATTTGATCAACAGGATGCTACTACTGGTGGAAACGACAAAGAAGACAACGACAGGAAATGGTAGCATGATGTTTTTTTAACTTTTTATTGTGTGAACAAACTTATTCATGTGATTTTTAATAGAAATTTTAATTTAACGGAAACACAACAAATGTAAAATTGTGTTTTTTCGATAACAGCATAAAAATTTTGTAACGCAGCTAGTGTATTAGCATAAAAGTAATGCACTTTATGAAAAGCTGAGAGCCGATCAGATTATAGAAATTAATCACATTCACTTAGTTTTATGCAAACTATTTTATAGCCAGTCAGTTGGCTGTTTTTTTTATTTTAAAAGTCTCTAGGTGTGTTTAGTTGAAAACTACTAGAAATCCTGTTGCATGCAATCAATTGGATGCATCAACTAAAAGCAAAGAAACTCAGATTACAGACCCAAGAGAAGCATCATTTTATCACTTTGTGGTAAACATGCTGCTGCTGCGTTTGTGTGATTTAGGTCCCTGTATCCTCTCGGATTAAAAATCAGTTAATGCAAATCAGGTTATTTAACTAAATTATGATCCATACAAAAGTGCAGCCTCTCTAAATCCTTTTTGAATCTGAGGGACTTTATCAGGATTTTTTTTGTTTTTTAAAAATAATGTAACAATGAGGACGATTTCAAAATTATTACAAATTAATCAGTTTGCAAAAGTTGTGCAGCAAAGTAATTCACAGAGGTACGAAAGATGATCTCTTTTGATATTTTGGTTTAATACCCACAGGTGTGTTGTAAGTATCATAACGTTTTTTTGACCAGGTGAGAAAAATAAAAAAAATCAGTAAATGAATCAACATTTTGGTCCACTCTGCTATAAAATCCACAGGATGAACTTCTAATTTCCCTTCATATTTCTAACTTTAACTTTGCCAACCATGTTCTGGTCTCCCTGCACATTCAGACTAAAGATAAAATCGTTAAAACAGGCTGCGATGTTAATGGCCGACATGTCAAAAATATTGATTTCAAATTGGAAAACTAGCGGCCTGGGCACCAAAATGTCACGCCGGATTAGAAAGTGATATCCCTAAAACTCAGCTTGCAAACTGAATTTAAAAAATAAAAAAATCAAAGTCAGTCTGGTTGAAGAAGCAAAAACCCACTTAATGTCGAACATGAGCCGTCGTCTGCTGCCGCTTCCAGGTCTGACTCCGGCAACACTTTATTGTGAAGGGTCTGCAGAAGACTGATAACTGTAATAAACATGAAGGTGTTTTCATGATTGTGTCAGACTGGTGTTATGAAAATGAGGATTTTTAATGCAAAACATGCATTAAAAGTAAATTAAAAGTGTAAACTTTGCATTATTTGGAGAGTAATGACAGTTTTAATGCAATCTTGCAGGTTTTAATGCAATCTTGCATTAAAACTTGCATTAAAAGTATTATCCTTGCATTATTCAGTAAATAATGACATTTTAAAGAAAGGTTTCACCAAAAGTTGAATTAAATGTGCATTAAAAATAATTAACTTTGTATTATTTGAAAAATAATGACACTTTCATAGCAAATTTACATTAAAACCGGCATAAAAAGTCCAGTAAAAATCTCAACTTTGCAATATGCAATATAAATAATTGCACTTTTAAGGCAAAAACTTGCCTTAAAAGTTAGGGTTGGGGTTGTCAACTTGCATTAAAATTCAATTTAAAGTGTCAACTTTTCAATCTTTGGGAAATAATAAAAATTTTAATGCAAAGTTGAATTACAACTTGCATTAAAAGTGTCATATTGGCGTTATTCAGAAAATAACACTTTTAAAGCAAAGTTTTACTAAAAGTTGAATTAAAAGTGAATTAAAAGTATGAACTTTGCATTATTTGGTAAATAAGGACACTTTTAAAGAAAATTAGCATTTAAAGTTGCATTTAGTGTCATTACTGCCTGACACTTCATGACAACAGTCATAAATATTTAAACTCCTTCATGTTCATGTCAGTCTTATGAACACTCCTTCAAATAAAGTGCTACCCAGATTTCCTGCTATGCTAGCAGGCTAGCAGGCTAGCAGCAGCTGTTTCAGGTGATGAACCCTGTGTCTTTAGTTCTCATGAATCTCATTTTGGCGTTTCAGTGGAATCCTGGTCGCCTCCTGTCAACCACCACTGAACATATCTGACTTCGCCCTGGTCGTCGTGGGAGAAATCGCGCCCTCGACTCGCGGCGATCCTCCGCTTCGCAGCGCCGGACGGTTTGAATCGGTTTGCCGTTTCCCACAATTCACTTTTTAACCGCAAGGATGGTCATCTGTAGACATTCCTCCTTCATGGCTAGCAGCTCAGTCTTGTAGCTGCTCGCCTTCCCGCCATCGACGTACACGCACGACGACTTCTTAGTCGAAAGAGGCGTCTCCATGGTGACGGAGCCAGCATTGAGAATGTCGGCATGCGAAGGCGAGGACGAGGGGCGCCTCTGGCATGCCGAGGACATTATGGCGTAAAGGGCGCGGCTAACGTCGTTCCTGGCACCCTCATTGACGAAGCAGTACAAAATGGGGTCGGCTACACAGTTCAGGCTAGTTAGCGCTAGCGCTACATGGTACGCAGCAAACAGCGTCTCCTCTGAGCTGCAGTCGCACGGCTTCTTCAGAAACATGACGCTGCGCACCAAGAGCAGCATGTGGTACGGTCCGAAGCACAGCAGGACAATGAGAATTAAACTCAAGGCCAGTCGCTGGATTTTGGCTTTCTCCTGGCGCTCCGTGGAGACGTTGCATCGCACCGCGGCTAGTATCCCTCTGTAGGCGACCAGCATGGCTGTCCATGGCGTCAGGAAACCAAGGAAAGTCCTGTAGAGGTTCATTCCTGCCACCCAGTCCTGCATCGGGTACTTCTCGAAGCAGAAGGTGTGGTTGAAGCGGTCCTGGAAGAGTTCATCGTGGAAGAGAGGAGCGGAGTTGGCGATAATCTCAATGATCCAGACAATGGCACTGACACAAACGGCTGCAGGAAGACAAGAAGGGGAATTAGACTTCCAGCTCTCCACCAGGATTTACCCAGTTTACCATCTTTATTCAATGCATCATTTCAAAAACACTGCAAATCCTGTTTCATGTCCATTATGAAAATGATGAAGGTGTAAATTTATAGTTCTAGATACTTAAGTTTTTTGTTGATACTTAAGAATCAGTTTATTTTACAGGATAATGCACCACAACACCTTTGACTTTCACATTTAACTTTTTTCAATATACATTTTAAATATCAACATATCAATAAAATAAAGTAGTAAAAAAAGGTTTCTTTCTTACATAGATATCTTTTAAAAAACTAGAAGTCAAGGTTGAATTTGTGTAACTATCTGTGTGTCATGTGGTTTTTGCAAATGGTACCATTGCAAATATGTGCATCTATCTTTCTATTATTTATCTTTGTCAAGATGTGGATAAGAATATTAGCAATGTTCTGTTAATGTCAAAAAAAAAAACAATTTTGCCAATTACGGTGTTTCAATTAAATAAGAAATAACGTTAAGATCACATGTGAGTAATCTTGTTCAAGTCATTAAAAATCATGGCACTGACAGATGTAAACAGTTAAATGGCTATCAGCCAATCAGAAGAGACGTCAGTGTCTTTCTCATGCTTTGGAGCCTCAAGCCCAAAAGTGGCTACTTTTGCTGCATTTTGGGGAAACTTTAGTCAGCCATTTTACTTTAAAGTTATGGATTCAACACGTTAGAATGACACACAACTATTTATGAAGTGTAAAGCAGTGAGAGTTCTAGTGGAGCCAGAAAAAAACCAAATCATCCTGCTACCACTTCCTGTCGTCTTCTTTGGTGTTTCCACCAGTAGTAATCCGGCTGTTGATCATGTCACTCATGAATTAAAGTGTTTCCATTGCAGTTTTGTGAAATACATCTATTTAGACATAGCTAAAAACTGCAAATCCTACTGCAAAAACTTTTTATTGAAAATCTGGAGTTTTTTCAAAATTGGCATTTTTTTTTATTAAACTAATTAATTTTGTCATTTTAATTTGTGCAATTAAGTTAAGACGAACACAGCTAATAACAAGGTTCTGATAATTATGAACAAAAAGAAGTATTATTCCAGGAGTTTTGTGGTTCATTTAGATGCAGTTTCACCAATCTACAGGTGAACTTTAACATTTTACTTGTTAACTGACGTCTTTTGAGTCTGAGATTGAGCTCTTGTTGCTTTCTCTATGCGTTGCATGTCAGTTTACTTGTCGTAAGACTGAAAAATGTTATCTGCTGCTGTATTTTCTTATCGTCTTTGTGTTAATACAGATCACTAAGATCCAATAACAAATTTCTACACTGTAAACCTTTTTTCTTAAACCTTAGGAAAGCAAGCTTGTGCTTTTCTTTTCAAGCAAGGTTTCTATTTTGGTTTAATCTTTGTCTGATATATACGGACAGAGTGGAATCTCTTGTTTGCCTTGTACACAGAACAGAGATTATTGGCAACGTTCTGACTTTAAGAGTGGGAACAGGTATTTATTTTTCTGGAAATATTGTTTAAACAAGTTTTTCTCTTTGTTTGTTTTCACTGTGTGTTTCAGCTGCGCAATCCAAAACAGAGGTGTATTGTTATTAGACGCGGCTGTAACTCCTCCCACTGAAGAAGAGTCAACCAGCACTGTAAAAACACAAAATCTTACCAAGTATTTCTGGTCTAGTTTGTAGTGCAAATATCGTCGTATTCTTGAAATCAGACAAAACCAACTTACAAGTAACTTCTCTGCAGGAAATGTGAGCTTATTTTAAGTCAATAATTCCTTATGAATGAAAAGGTTTTAGTTCTGCTGCTAGAATGTTCCACTGAGCCGTTACCTAGCAACCCCAGCCAAGCCCAGCCCGTTACCTAGCAACCCAGTTCTAGTTCCACTGGCAGATTATTTCACTAACAACATGGGAGAAACTGAAATAAACTTAAATAATTCCTTCATTAACATGCTAGGCGACTTAAAATCATATCCTATATGTTATATCAACTAACTGCTGCTTTCCCTGGTTTAGTTCTGGTCCACTGAACAATAACTAAGCAGAACTCCGATAACCTCAGTGGTTTACATGGTTCATATCTGACCAGCAACTCGGAAATCGTCATTCTGTGCTTTATAGAGCATCTAAGAGATCTAAAATTTTACCATTTTAAAATGTTAATCGAGGATGAGTATTTTGCGATCACTTTTTCTGTTGTTGATTAGTTTCCCTGCCAGCAGCATTTTGAGCTAACTTAATAAAATAAAAGTATGAGCTTGTTTTTTTTGTTTTGTTTTTCTGTTCTGCATTGACAAGAAGCCATTTAGTCTGGCAATGTTTCATACTTCTGCTAATGTGGTAGAAGCAGAGATAATTTTCTGATTTAGCACTTTTGCTGACCCTGTATACTTTTCTTAAGACATAGTAGGAGATCCTGTAAAAGTTGAATAAAAGTAGCACAAAATGGCACCTTGAGGAACCCCACTTGTTTACTCATATTTACAATTTCGAAAACCCTGAAAGTTGTCATTTCTTGTCTTAAAAATAAATTCTTCTATCCACAATGTAACAGCCTAATTTTCCCCCAGTCGTCTTGTGAAAATCCTACCTGTCTTGATTCGCCGGACCTTAACGAAGCGCAGCGGATACGCCACAGCCAGGTACCGGTCCAGTGATATGCAGCACAGGAAGGCAATGCTGACGTAGATGTTTGTGTAGAAGATGAAGCCGAACAGTTTGCAGCTCTCCTGCCCATGGATCCAGTCGTCGTGCTGCAGGAAGTAGTCGATCCACAGAGGAAGAGTGATAATGTAGAGGAGGTCAGCCACCGACAGGTTGATCAGGTAAATGCCGAGTTCGTTACGCTGACGTACCTGAAGGAAAGGGAGGGAAGAGTACCAGAAACTGAACTCAGGTAAGATTAGCACTACTTCAACATGTTTTACCCAAGTAAAAGTAAAAAGTAGCAAGAAATTACTGCCGTAAAAAGTATTTGGTAAAATGTCAATTCAAGAACTGAGTAACTGATCAAATTATCAGTCATTTAATATTTAAATATTACATCATCAGACGGGCCAAAATATAAAGTTAAGTGGAAATTTTACTCAAGTAGGAGTAGAGATATTTCATAATAAAATTACTCAAAGTTCAGTGCAGTAAAAGTACTCCTAAAAGTACATTTACTTGGGTAACTTTTTTTAAATTGTACTTTTAGGAGTATTTTTGCTATGCTGTACTTTTGACTTTTACTTGAGTAATTTTATTATGAAATATCTCTACTCCTACTTGAGTAAAATTTCCACTTAACTTTATATTTTGGCCCGTCTGATGATGTAA